TCATTGTATAATGTGGGGGAATAAAGTAATTGTACCCAAGACTTTACAAAAAGATGTTCTAGAATTATTTCATGAACAGCATAATGGCATTGTGAGAACAAAAATGTTACTTCGTTCCTTTTGCTGGTGGCCTAATATAAGTTTAGATGTAGAAAAATTTATATCTTGTTGTGATATATGCCAACAATGCCAAAATTTCACAAATTCTAATATCGCCTTAATGCCATGGTCATCTGCACCTCGAAATTTTTACAGAGTGTACATTGATTTTTTTGTTAAACATAAGTATGTTTTTTTAATTCTAATAGATCAAAGATCAAAATGGATCGAAGTCAAGCTAATGAATAATGGCACAAATGCGTTAGAAACAATTTCAAAATTAAAAGACATATTTGCAGTCTTTGGCCTCCCAGTGGAACTTGTATCCGATAATGGGCCGCCATATAATTCTAGCGAATTTGTGGCATTTTGCCAGGCAAATGCAATTAAACCCATCAAGTCACCTCCTTATCACCCACAGAGTAATGGTGCAGCAGAGCGTAGTGTCCAGACTGTAAAGAAAGGATTAGAGAAAGCATTATTTCCTCAAAAAGGGGAAGATGTTTCAAGAAATTTAATTTTAAATAAGTTGCAAAACTTCTTGTTTACATACCGGAACACGCCCTCTACTGTAACAGGCATTTCACCTGCTGAAGGAATATTTAGAAATAAACCAAGAACAAGATTTGAATTGCTAAAGCCATCTTGTCATAACAATCAAAGAACATCAAATATAGATAAGCGTACGCTTTACAAAGTCAACGATCAGGTTTTTATTAAGAACAAACAGACGAAGTTATGGCAAAAGGGCATAGTAATGAAAGTCCTTAGTTACTGTACATATTTGGTCAAATGTGAAAACAATATTAAGTTTGTACATTCAGGCGATTTACGTGATGGGGGAGAGTGCTCCCAAAAGTGTCGCTCGGATGCTGGTGAATCAATTTTGGAGGAATCTGAGAAGCAACAGGTACCTAATATCAGTGCCGCTTCGGTGGAATCTGAAATACCTTGTGAAATCATCAGACCACCAATATGTGAACTTGTTACACAATCTGTGCCTACATCAGAATCCGATGACCAGATTCAAAATCCCTATGTAAATGAACCGCCTCGTGTTAGGGAAGTTGCAATTGAGCCACAAGAAGGTCAGAGTACCAGACGCTCTATTTCAGCTTCCTCTGCGGTGCATACACGTTCTGGTAGAATTGTTAAGCCTCCAGTAAGATTAAACCTTTGAGTCTTTGTCTTACGCGGGGAGAAATGTTGTGTTTTACCAGTTTATAAAAATACCTATTTTAATTGTTATAGATTGTCATTGTCATATATGTTAATAGCAGTCGGTCAGTGACAAAAATTATAATCATTTTGTGTTGGCTAATAAAGTGAATTAAAGCTCAGTAAGTGTGTTTCAATACACAACACTAAGTAGGCTACTTCGTGCCTTAGAAACTCGCTCTTATCTAATTGGATCTTAAAATTCGTTTCTCTTAATCTTTGGAATACGGTTTCTAATCGCTCCAAGTGTTCCTGTAATGACGACGAGAAGACTATAATGTCATCAAGGTAAACTAGGCACTTCTCGTTTTGGATTCCTCGTAGAATGCCATCCATGATGACCCTCTGGAATGTGGCGGGGGCATTGGATAGACCGAAGGGCATTCTGAGAAACTCGAAATGGCCATTTTCTGTACTAAACGCCGTTTTTTCAATGTCCTTTTTATTCATTTGAATTTGATGGAACCCACTAGCCAAATCTAAAGTTGTGAAATATTGACACTTCCCTAGCTTATCCAGAAGGTCCGTTATGCTAGGAAGAGGGTATCTATCTGGCATGGTCTTTGCATTGACGCCTCTGAAGTCAATAACGACTCTCCATTTCTGCTTCCCAGAAGCATCTGTTTTTTTTGGGACCACCCAAATAGGGGCAGACCAAGGAGAATTGCTTGGGCGTATAATATTCTGGTCCAGCATTTTCCTTATTTGTGATTCAACCTCTTGCTTATGAATGAATGGGTACCTATATGTTTTTGTATATACAGGCTGTTCATCTGTTGTTTTTATAGAGTGTTTTATTTCGCTCGTGAATGTCAATGGCATATTTTCCTGGTAAAATATGTCCGAATATTTTCTACATAATTCAATTATTTTGGCTCTCTCTTGTGAATTAAGGTGATCTGTGCGAATTCCAGTATAGTCAAAAATATCAGTATCGTAATTTGATGCCACAAAATTATTTAGATCAATTTGTTCTATTTCTTCTCTATTAAATGGTTCCACTTCAATTGGTCGTGAAAGATCTAATATAATTGGCTGACATGTATTGTTTAAGATTGTCGTTAAAGCGTATCCATTTTTTGCAATGCTTAGGGAGTTCGGAATCTCGCAATTATGCATTTTCTGATATGGAATTATAACTTCGCCATCATGTATGCTGGTTTTAATTTTCACAAGCTGTTCGGTACGTGGTGAGAGAGTGATATTATATGCTTGGTTTATGTTCGTTCTTTGGAATTGTAACTTGATTTTTGCAAATGGAATTACTAAGAATCCTGTTTCATAGTTTATGCTAGCTTGTAACATTTTTAGATTATCAAGTCCTATAAGGCCGTCAAAGATGTTATAAAATTTAAATAAATAAAATTTCAAAGGTTTCCTATTAGGTAGATTAAAAATTTTTGAAGCGGGAATTTGAGCACTGTATTGATGTGCTGATTGTTGGAAAACAGTTGAAACGATGAATGGCTCATAGCTTATGTGATTTGGAAAGAATTTTTGAGCTAAGTCGGGGTCTATGAACGACTTGGTGGAGCCACTATCTATGAGAAATTTGAGATTGCATTCAGGAAAGACGATATAGGACAGCTCACTTGCGTTGACGTTATTGAATGAAATTATTTCAGGTGATTCTAGGGTGCAGGGTTGGTTGACTGAATTTCCTGAAAATTTGATTGTTCCGAAGAACTAGCTGTGTCGTATTCTACGAGTTCAGTGGTTTGGAATTCATTATTTGAATCATTATAATTATCGGAATAATTGTAACTTTGTTGAGGGTCAACTTCGGTCTCATAATAATATGATTCTTGATCATTTTCGGTGTAAGAAAGGTCAGTGACGTTCGTCGTATTTGTATTATGTAGTTCTTCTGAAATAAAGTTACGTGGTTGCGTAACTTGGAAATAATTATTACCAGAAGTTTGTGGTGCATTGGTAGCAGAATAGGTTTGTCTTGTCGTTGTAGACATTGGGGTAAGTCTAGGAAAATTTTTGTTTTGACCTGGTTTAAATACATTGGTCTGATTTTTATTTTTGAAGACCTGTGAGTTAGTTGGGAATTTTTGTTGTATTTTATTATAATCAGGTCTCACATGAATAGGTTGAGATGGAAATTTTTGTTGAGTGAACGTGTTATTTGGTGTATTAGCATTAAATGTGTTGGAATTATTGTATCTTTGTTGTGTATTTTGTTTGAAGTGCTGTGAAGGATGTTTTTGTTGAGTTTTAGCTATATTCTGAAAATATTGTGTATTATATTCCTGTGTGACAAACTGTAAAGCTTCGGGAAGGTCTTTGGGACGCATACACCTAATTGTTGTTCCCAATGGTTCCCTTAAGCCTGATAAGAAAGTTTTAAGGGCAAGATCATTGTATAAGTTTCGCTTTAAATTTTTCGCATTTTGGTCAACTTCATGACTATTTACATAAGAACAAAGCAGGTTTAAAATATGCATAACCCTGTCATAATACTGACTAGACTTTTCTGAGTTTTGTTGTCTCAACATTACGAGATCTCTGTTTAAACATGCCTCGTCTCTTTGATCTGCAAAATGCCTGCTCAAAGTTAGTTTCAAATTATCCCAAGTAGTAACATTTTCTGTACCTAGGATCAATAATTTTGCGTTCCCAGTTAGTTTTCCAATGATGCAATTTATCAAGTAAATATTTTGAAAATGGTTTGGTTGATTTGCATCATAGAAATTATCAATTAAACTTTGGCATACTGCCAAATATCTATTCAGATCGTTAGGGTTACCATCGAATTGTGGTACTCAATTTAAGTACTCAGGTTTAAATTGAGCCATATTGTTAATCGTATTAATATTATTTGAACTTAAATTATTTTGATTAGTGCTTGTATCAGTAACTGCAGCACTGCTATTTAATGTTTGATTAATATTTCTTATAAACTCTTCTGTATCAGAAGGTGAGTCAGTTGAAGGTAGAGATAGAGATAATAATCTTTCTGTTAATTCATCAATATCAGACATTAAAGAAATTACAAATTGCACATTGCACTTACATGAAGATTATTCCGTAGAGCAACATGTATAAGGCCAAGAATTTCTGGTAGGCTATGTTTATTCTTCCAAATTAATCCTGGTCTCGCGAATATTGGCTATTTTTGGTCCAATAATCCGATTGCTTGAAGGCAGTTCTTTGGTTTTCGATTTCGTAAAGCCACTCCGACACTTCTCGCAAACACTTAACACGATTTTCACACAAGGGTGTAGATTCGAGTTCCCGGTTAGTCTGATTTCCGAAAAGTTCGTAAACCAGTTCCAAAAACAAAAAAATCCGGACGACTGCGCCAGTTATCAATACGTAGGCCGATAACAAGTTTTTAAAAAAACAATTTATTCACTAAATTACAATAGAGAAATACTTCGCGTTGCGCGTTACAAAGTTTCAAATAAGAAATATAATTACAATTCAACTGACTAACTATTCTAGGCGGGCAACGATATTTATAATAAAGAAAAGCGAATTAAGCAGTTTATATGAATGGTCAGCAAATAGAGCTGACATTACTTATGTCCTCAATATTGGACTATTTTCAGGCAAATTTTTTCAGAAAAATCTTACCTGTTTTTGATAAAATTTAAAAAAAAAACGACTGTTGAATTGTTAAAACATCTTAAAAATATGTGGCCACGTCACAATGAATACAATAATTATAGTACCTTGTGTCCAGGATCAAGATGATGCGGCGGCGCCCTCACGCTTGGATTGGGGTGGTGACGCAAGTAGCTCTCGGTAGGTCCGGGTTTTCTTTTTACTTTGGCACCGGGCAGTACCAATGGGGTGGTACGGTACGGCTACAATGGACAGGGACAAAAAAAAAACGAACGATACATATAAATGATAATGATACATGCAGTATAAACAGTCTAGTAATTATTCTTTATCTTAATAGTACTCTGGCTAAACTTATCCGAAAAAAAATATATGTTTATACAGGGTGGACCATAAGTTTGTTTACATTTCAATCGATAATCCGTTATTGAAAATTTCCGCTTCAGGTTGCAACAGTGTCAAAATAGTCAGGAATCTTATATGCGGATGATGTAATTTTTAAACAATAAAATCCCTATCTGTGTACTTTTGTAAAAAATAAACATTTTTTCTCCCATTTCGATATCTAGTTTTTTTTTATCATTGTTTGAAAAGTAAAAAAGCTTTTGATTCAGCCTGTACAATATTTTTGAGGAATATACACCATGATTGACGTAGCCCAAGAATTCAATTGAATTGCAGGTGGATTAATAGAGATACTAGCATCTAATCCACCTATAAACTAATGCACGGGCCACATAAGTCACTCTGTATATATTATATTTCCAAACAATTATTTTCACCAAGGTTTCTGAGAAAATTGAAAATATAAGTGTTTGTTTTTCTTCGCTGATATACATTGTATCGCGTTCAAAAGAACTCTGGGAATAAAAATGTGTAAAAATAGGTTTGTTTGTTTTTTCCGCAAGGATTTTGGGAATAGAAATTCTAATTTTTAGGCATGCACAGTCAATTTTATGTGATTTCTTCAAATTCAAAAAGATCTTTGGATGTGGGGCGCAGTTATGATGCAGGAATTGATTACCCAGGAAACTGTGATATTCTCTCATGCAATATGAGATTTTCAAAATTAAGAATTTGGGAATTTATTCAATATTCTTCATGTATGTATGCTAGGTTTTAAGCTTATTCTGAATCTGAAATATCCTTGCCATCAACATTGGCTACATCAGAAATATCTTATTTTCATCCATCTTTCAAATATTTCAGCAAGTGGTTCATTCAAAGGCAAAACCGCAACAACTTCAAATTTTGAAGAAATTTCTGTTTGTTCTAAAATTTCATTATCCAATTTGGTTTTAGTTAGATTTTCTCTACGGCCTCATTATTTCTGTTTTCTCATTCTTGAATTTTCAAATTCTCAATTTTTTTCTCTTTCTGATCTTTCAGCTCCCCAAAAAATTTTTATTTTCAATTTTCAACAATTATGGAAGGTTTTCAAACATCCTAAAAGTCCTACCAAATTCTGAGAATATTCCCAGTCCCAAAATTCTCAGAATCTCTATTTTCTTGAATTACTGTAATGTTCCAATCTTTTCGTTCTTGGATTTTTAAAATTCTCAGTTTTTTCCTGATTCTGAATTATATGAAAATAGTTGTCGATAGTTGTCCAGTTTTTGCGTTATCAGCCTTCAAAGTTGAAACTTTCTAGGAAATCTGTTTGTATGACATGCCTTCATATTTTAATTATTTAGGTACTCAAAAACTACTTGAAGCACGAATATGAAATTTTGAGGGAATATTTTGGAGGCTTGCAGAGCTGTCAGTAATTCAAGTAGATTACTTGGAAATTGTTTTTCAATTACTTTTAAGTATTTAAAGTACTATAATTCAAATATTTTTGTTTTTGGATATTTGTACTTGATTCCTGGAAATACTTTAAAATAAAGTATATGTATTTGGTACTTGGATTTACAAAAAAAGTAATTCAAATACTGGGCATTTGTACTCAAAATACTTAAAAATATTTCAAATACCCCAGAAAGTGAAAAGTAATTGAAATACCAGAGAAAGTAATAATTCAAATACTTCACCAAATGTGAAATTAACATATCCTAACAAGTATGCAGAGGATACCAATATAGATATAAAATCCTTGGATAGGTTTCCTGTTATAAAAGAAGATTTTCATAGGTATAATACGTGTCTTCCATCATCAGCCCCTGTAGAAAGACTTTTTACTTTTGCAGAAATAGTGAACGCACCTCGAAGACATGCGCTTTCTGACTTGCATTTCGAACTTTACTAGATAAATTTTAAATTGTTAAATTGAAAGTAACTACCTCGGTACCTAACTACAATCTGCAACTACAATCTTAGAATCTGAAATCTCCGTAGTACTCTTTTAGAGGTATTTACAAGTATTTTCAATATACAATTTTAAACGAATCATTGAATAATTTGAATTCCTTTTTAGTGGGTACTTGAAATACTTCTTAATATTTCAAATACACATAGGTATTTCAAATATCCAATTAAGTACTTGAAATACTTACAGAGTATTTGAATTATTTTACTTGAAAAAATCAAGTACGGAATTAAAGTACTTGAAACTTGAAGTACTTTTCAAATTGGAAATGCCACTATTTGTGACAGATTAGAGGCAAATCAGACTAAAAATTCAGCTCAATTGAACGAAAACTAACAAAGTTGACTGATACCCAGTGTTGTCAACCGTACTTTAATTATAGTATTTGTACTATAATTGAATGGTTATGTACTATCAAAGGTCATTATAGTACGCCTAAAATACTATAATTATGCATTCTCAAATTATTTAGTTTTTTACTGGAAAATAATCTCTATTTTCCTAAACCTATTTTGTTGGCGTGCAAGCCCTTATGTCACCTTTTTTCTTTTTTTTTTTTTTTTTTAATGTAAACTGTCAAAAGTGTTAGTTTAGTGTTTTTTAGGTGACTGGGTTTACACTCTCAATTGTCAATTTCATTGATTTTCCTGAGCGGATCCTTTTTTTATACCAAAAAAGATGTTATCGAACGCACCCCTATTTGATTTTTAAAATTATTTTTAATTTTGTTGTTTTTCACGGAAAAAATTTGGAATTTTAGTGTGATGCGCCCCTGACTTTTCTCTTTTTCTCCAGAAAATGTCCTAATTTTCCCTTGAATAGTTTTCCAGAAGAAAAATAAAATGTTAAATGGTGCATTTATGCCTGATTTAGTTGATTTCCATTAATTTCCAATGGGGTTATTTTCCACTGGAAAAATTTGAAATTTTACTATGATACATCCCTGACTTTCCTTTTTTTTTTCAGAAAATGTCATAATTTTCCCCTGAATAGTTTTCCAGAAGAAAAATAAAATGTTAAATGGTGCATTTATGCCTAATTTAGTTGAGATTCATTAATTTCCATTGAGGTTATTTTCCACTGGGAAAATTTGAAATTTTACTATGATATGCCCCTGACTTTCTTCTTTTTTTTTCAGACAATGTCATAATTTTCCCCTGAATAGTTTTTCAGAAGAAAAATAAAATGTTAGATGGTGCATTTATGCCTGATTTAGTTGATTTTCATTAATTTCCAATGGGGTTATTTTCCACTGAAAAAATCTGAAATTTTGCTATGATTCGCCCCTGATTATCTTCTTTTTTTTCCAGAAAATGTCATAATTTTCCCCTGAATAGTTTTCCAGAAGAAAAATAAAATGTTAAATGGTGCATTTATGCCTGATTTAGTTGATTTTCATTAATTTCCAATGGGGTTATTTTCCATTGACAAAATCTGAAATTTTGCTATGATTCGCCCCTGATTATCTTCATTTTTTTCCAGAAAATGTCATAATTTTCCCTTGAATAGTGTTCCAGAAAAAAAAATAAAATGTTGGATGGTGCATTTATGCCTAATTTAGTTGATATTCATTAATTTCCATTGAGGTTATTTTCCACTGGAAAAATTTGAAATTTTACTATGATATGCCCCTGACTTTCTTCTTTTTTTTTCAGACAATGTCATAATTTTCCCCTGAATAGTTTTTCAGAAGAAAAATAAAATGTTAGATGGTGCATTTATGCCTGATTTAGTTGATATTCATTAATTTCCATTGAGGTTATTTTCCACTGGAAAAATTTGAAATTTTACTATGATATGCCCCTGACTTTCTTCTTTTTTTTTCAGACAATGTCATAATTTTCCCCTGAATAGTTTTTCAGAAGAAAAATAAAATGTTAGATGGTGCATTTATGCCTAATTTAGTTGATATTCATTAATTTCCATTGAGGTTATTTTCCACTGGAAAAATTTGAAATTTTACTATGATATGCCCCTGACTTTCTTCTTTTTTTTTCAGACAATGTCATCATTTTCCCCTGAATAGTTTTTCAGAAGAAAAATAAAATGTTAGATGGTGCATTTATGCCTGATTTAGTTGATTTTCATTAATTTCCAATGGGGTTATTTTCCATTGAAAAAATCTGAAATTTTGCTATGATTCGCCCCTGATTATCTTCATTTTTTTCCAGAAAATGTCATAATTTTCCCCTGAATAGTTTTCCAGAAGAAAAATAAAATGTTAAATGGTGCATTTATGCCTGATTTAGTTGATTTTCATTAATTTCCAATGGGGTTATTTTCCATTGACAAAATCTGAAATTTTGCTATGATTCGCCCCTGATTATCTTCATTTTTTTCCAGAAAATGTCATAATTTTCCCTTGAATAGTGTTCCAGAAAAAAAAATAAAATGTTGGATGGTGCATTTATGCCTAATTTAGTTGATATTCATTAACTTCCAATGAGGTTATTTTCCACTGGAAAAATTTGAAATTTTACTATGATACGCCCCTGATTTTCCTCTTTTTTTCCAGAAAATGTCATAATTTTCTCTTGGACAGTTTTCCAGGAAAAAAAATAAAATGTTAGATGGTGCATTTATGCCTAATTTAGTTGATATTCATTAATTTCCAATGAGGTTATTTTCCACTGGAAAAATTTGAAATTTTACTATGATACGCCCCTGATTTTCCTCTTTTTTTTCCAGAAAATGTCATAATTTTCCCTTGAATAGTGTTCCAGAAATTTTCCCTTGAACAGTTTTCCAGAAAAAAAAATTATAGTAGATGGTGCATTTATGCCTAATTTAGTTGATTTTCATTAATTTCCAATGGGGTTATTTTCCACTGAAAAAATCTGAAATTTTGCTACGATTCGCCCCTGATTATCTTTTTTTTTTCCAGAAAATGTCATAATTTTCCCTTGAATAGTTTTCCAGAAAAAAAATAAAATGTTAGATGGTGCATTTATGCCTAATTTAGTTGATATTCATTAATTTCCAATGAGGTTATTTTCCACTGGAAAAATTTGAAATTTTACTATGATACGCCCCTGATTTTCCTCTTTTTTTCCAGAAAATGTCATAATTTTCTCTTGGACAGTTTTCCAGGAAAAAAAATAAAATGTTAGATGGTGCATTTATGCCTGATTTAGTTGATTTTCATTAATTTCCAATGGGGTTATTTTCCACTGAAAAAATCTGAAATTTTGCTACGATTCGCCCCTGATTATCTTTTTTTTTCCAGAAAATGTCATAATTTTCCCTTGAATAGTTTTCCAGAAAAAAAATAAAATGTTAGATGGTGCATTTATGCCTAATTTAGTTGATATTCATTAACTTCCAATGAGGTTATTTTCCATTGGAAAAATTTGAAATTTTACTATGATACGCCCCTGATTTTCCTCTTTTTTTCCAGAAAATGTCATAATTTTCTCTTGGACAGTTTTCCAGGAAAAAAAATAAAATGTTAGATGGTGCATTTATGCCTAATTTAGTTGATATTCATTAACTTCCAATGAGGTTATTTTCCACTGGAAAAATTTGAAATTTTACTATGATACGCCCCTGATTTTCCTCTTTTTTTCCAGAAAATGTCATAATTTTCTCTTGGACAGTTTTCCAGGAAAAAAAATAAAATGTTAGATGGTGCATTTATGCCTAATTTAGTTGATATTCATTAATTTCCAATGAGGTTATTTTCCACTGGAAAAATTTGAAATTTTACTATGATACGCCCCTGATTTTCCTCTTTTTTCCAGAAAATGTCATAATTTTCTCTTGGACAGTTTTCCAGGAAAAAAAATAAAATGTTAGATGGTGCATTCATGTCTGATTTAGTTGATTTTCATTAATTTCCAATGGGGTTATTTTTCACTGGAAAAATTTGAAATTTTAGTATGATACGCCTCTGACTTTTCTCGTTTTGTCCAGAAAATTTCATAATAGTTCGATCTCTTTGTGTCCCACCACCAGGACAATTGGCGGTCATTTGTCTCCAGCAGGTTACTATAATTTGTACAAATGTACTATAATCTCATAGCGTTCTATACTATAATAGTTGATCCGCAGTTGGCAACCCTGCTGATACCCATATTAAACATGTCACTGTCTCAATTCATTGCATTATTACAATAATAAAAAAAAGCGTTCTATTGTTTATTTTCTTCCATAACTAAGAATAATAAATGGACAAAAGAGCACTAGGCATTATCCTGGAAGTTGAAACTCCACTTTGAAGGTTCATAACTTAAAAACGGGATAATTCTGGATAAAGCCATTCTGTGGGAAATTTAATCCTTTATCAAATGAAACATGATTCATTGAAATCTATCCAGCCGTTCCAGAGTTATGGCTCATTTAATAAGACCATGTCAGGCTGAAAAAGCCTCATCCCTATTAATTTTATTTTTGATTTTTTCCGGGCTTAAGAGATGTCCTATGGAAAAATGCCAAATACCTTTTCTATTTGTTTTGACGTCTTCTATACAGTGGAATTTTTGTTTTTCAAAAATTCGGAAAATTTCGATTTTCCATTTTATGGGGTATAGAAAAGGGCCGGAAACTCCTGGAAAAACGGGAAATCAAGGGGCGAAAAATGGGTTCCGACATTTCTCTGGACCTCCTCTATGACGTAGTAAAAGAAAATCCGTGAAATTTTGACTTTGATTTTTTGGCCGAAAAAAAAAAGCAATGATTTCAAAACTTCCAAGTGAAATATCTCGGAAATGGTAAGTCGGAGAGGTAAGACTCGAAAAGCATTTTTGTAGAACTTGATGGGTTCTACAATCTGCCCATGAAGAGTTTTCCTTCACGACTTACAGTTACAGAGTTATGGCCGGTTGAAGTTTCGATTTTTGTTATTTTCAGTTTCCTGTATTAAAGGTGTAGGGCCAAAAACCAAAGTCAAAATTTCGAAATTTCAAGATAGCAATTTTGTAGAGGGGATCTCAAAAAGTCCTAATCCTAATTTTTTTTCATTAATTTATCCGATTTTAGATGAATTTTCACCATTTCGTTGCGATCCGACACCTCTTAATTAAATTTGCTACATATAACTTTTCTGTCTTTGAACCGATTTCTTTGAATAATGTCTTAAGGTTCCACATTCATCTTTTGACAGGTGATTGATAGTTTCTTTATCAACATTGTGTTTTTTTTTTTAAATCGGTACGATTCTAGGGCACTTATGAATTGAGAATATGAAAAAATTTGCTTCGAATTGGGTTTTTTATTTTCTGTATTTTCCTGATGAACAGAAACCGAAATGCTTAAATTGAATTGAAATATACAAGACAACTCCTGAAAAATTAGCAACTGAAAAAATGGTAGAATTCTAAGGTGGTTCCTTTCCAAAAAATGAGGTAGTTTTTGTTCCTGATGCAGCAGTAAATTTGTTGTGAGAACAGAGAACAGACCTTTAATTATCACAAGAAAGAAAAATAAAAATACAGGATGAGTGTGAAATTTGCAGATTCATTGGAATTGAGATAACAAGAACTTCTGAAATCATAAGTATCACTCAGAAAAATATATTAAAAAAATTCTACAAGATTGAAACGGAGTGTCTATATCTATGACGACAGGATTTCAAGTTGAAAAATCATTGATATCCCATATGGAAAGTTAATTGGATTTCTGAATATACTCGGCATGCACACAGTGTTCTACCTTAGTCGATTTTTGGACAAACCAACTCAAGTTTTGTGGACTGCAGGCAAAAGAATCCTGAGGTATTTAAAAAATACTGGTGATACTGGACTGAAGATAAAAACAACAGGAAGAATAGGTACAAGTGGCTCTGCAGTACTCTGTATATTGGGAATCTAATCGTTTTCCAAGAATTTGATTCAAGATTCACATAAACTGGAAAATCAAATTAACTAATTTCAAATAACTGTTAAAACTAGTTGTAGACATGGTTAAAACTTAAAGTAATGTATTCTTAGTGATAAAAACAACTCTCAATTACCCAAGATTGTGCAGCCTCCTCAGGCTTACCACTATCACCATGATGAAATCTCTCACTAGAAAAACTCCTAGAAAGAATCATAATTTTCACTCTATTACACAATCCACCAGGGAGCAATTATCGCGGAAAACTGGACCTAGAGGTACAAACTTTTTGGCTAACTAACGGTTATAGAGCATAATATTTTGGGATATTTTTAAAGAAAAAAAAAATTAAGCGTAGGCCGTGTGGACGTGGAAATTTTGGTGACACATTGTCAATATTGCCACATACGAAATTATAATTTGCATCATGAATCATTTTAATTAAGTGATGTGATTTTTCATCATAATCCATGCTTCAAACTTTTCGGAATATTGTCTGAATTGACGATGTATAACTGTATTTACACAATTTTCAGTACCTAATTATTGTCAATAAATTACACATACATAACTTATAAGTATCTAACTTAACTCATCGACAATTTAATTATCGATTGTGTAAAAATAGTCCGATGTTGTTGTGATTCGGTTTTACACCATAATAATATTGCACAAACAGCGAAAAAAAAATTTGTTGGCGATACCAAACAACTATAAATAAAGGACCTTGTTTTTGTGACATTAGCTGGATCGGAGCCAAAATCGCACTTTTGATTAATGAAAATTTGAGGATCTTGTAGTTCAACACGGTGGTTTATTAAATGAGAATTTGTTGTTCAATTATTCGATGTGATAATTAGGAGATTTTGTCTTTTTGGTAGCTGCTTTAAATATTATCTTTATCCAAGAAAGTTCAACAGAAAACATATACAATCTTGTAACTTACCGTTCTTGATTCAATTTAAACTGGCAAATATTCTACTATACAGGGTGATTGACTGAAATATTTATTTACCTGTTTGGTAACGTGAATATCTCCCTCTTCATCTTGTCGCCTCCTATTGCCATACTCGTAGATTTCGAAGTAGCTGTTGTCGATTGGTGTTAATGGGGCATTGTAAACAGGAGTGAGGGCTGATCCTGCTGGACTGTATCCTAAATAACAAGCAAAATTAGCTCGTGGCAATTTGTTTTTGAATATTTTACCTGAAGGACTCAATCCTGGACCTCTAGGAGAGAGATTTGGCGATACAGAGAGTGGGCTGTAGTGGGAACTGTTCCTTGACGAACCTGCGCTTGCGTTGTGACGCGGGGCTGTTTCTCTGGAAGAAAAAGAAATGTTCAACAATTTTCTAAACAAAAATGTCTTTTTAAAGGGAATATTCAATTCAATCATTAATTAGATAATAAAGATTCTGAGAATAGGCATGAATGCATTGGGTCATCTACTCCTATATTTTCCGAAATTTTTCCAAATCCTTCATCTCCGGTGGCCGGTGGAAGATTCGGACACCAATAATTCTTTAGATACCCAAAGTTGGAGGATGATTACCAATATTTGCTGGTCTTTGGTAGGGGAAGTAGGCGGAATAGTTCATGCAACTCCTGATTATACATTTAGTATTTTTCTAGTTTTGTTTGTATTACTGTGGACTCTTTCTACAACTGTCCACATTTTTGTAGAAACTCTAACTCAAAACTCTACAAAAATGTGTAACTTTAATCCACAGAAATTTCGTTGTCAGTCAATACATATTAATGGTATAAAGAAATCCAATTATCCACTTGAAATTCCTTAAGTGTCCCTGTCAACACGTACGTCGACTGCGGAAAAGTGCTGTAACATTTATATTAGCGAGAGAATTTCACAAACAGACCAAAACAGTTGCGGGCTTAAAATAAGCCAGAAATGCCATAAGCCCCTGCGCCGAAGAATGTTTTATCGATTTATATATCGGATTGTATAAACATCGCGCGTCAGTCTTAATTTAGGTTTTTATACAGTGTATGGGTGGGCCATTTGACAAGAGTATCAAATTTAAAAACGTCTGAAATATGTCACAAAATGTCCATATAAGTTATGGAAAAAAAAATGTTTTAAAAACCAACAACAACAACCTCCTTACAAAACTCTTTTTTTCGGATACTAAGGGTCGGTTTTTTAATAGCGAGTCACCTCTGAGTTAGTTTTAACTCTAGGGTAAACGTGTCCAGTTGCACTGTTTACCCTGGAGTTATGCTCTCGGTGGTGACTGCTATTGAGAAACCAGCCCTAAGGATGTTTTTATAAAAAGTCACAAAAGAAAGGTTTCTTAGAGTTGTTTTCAAAAACCCCATTGAAAACATGTATTTAAATTTGATGTACGATTTTCAAACATCCATTTTCGACGTCTGCATGTTGTAACTGTGACTATAAAGAAAGTCTATTGGACTTTCTTGGATACTTCGAAGGACGTCCAATGGATGTTCTGAAAGACCTTTGGTGATATTCGCATTAAGAAGAGAAAAACGTCCATTGTTCGTTTTTTAAACCTATTAGGGTTAATGATCCTGAAATATACACAAAATTCTCAAAAATTCTTGAACCAATTTTCGGTTTTTCAAAAAACTCTATTGAATTATCAATATCAAAGTTTCTAGAAAATTCCGAGGATGTTCGGATAAAGCTCAATCCGGTCAAAGAACCATTGTCATCAAACGTATCTGGGTCAAAAAGAATTCATAATAATCTCCTGGACTATTTCTACTATCATTCATTTTATTCATAGTTTGACACTAGAAGTCATATTCTAGTTCAAGAGCTAATATGTTGCTGTCCCAGTTATTTTTGGTGACGATGGTACAGGGTGTCAAGTTATAGAGTACCACCACCTGTAACTTTTTTATTTTTGATCGTACATAAAAAAATTACAGGTGGTGGTACTTTATAACTTAACACTCGGTACATACTATTTTTTGATACACATTATATACTTATAAGAGGTGCGTTTGATTAAATTGCGTTTCCGTCTCTCATCGATTGAAGTTCTAAGAGCCGGGATTAATCAAAATAAAAAAAATTCCGAATTTAATTTTTTCCCGGCTCGTGATTTGAATTCAACGCCCGGGAATAATCACTAGGCGAGTTCGGTTGATTCTCAGCGAGATAAAAAATGACGTTGTTGACAGAAGCTCACGTGATCTTTCATTTGAAGTTACAAAACTGGTCACATGGGGTTGTCATCTTTTTGCTCGAGGGGGATTAACTGAACTCTACTACTTATACAGTGACAGTTGACGTCGGTTGACGTTGTCAATTGTACCAATTGAAACTGTAGTAACCTACTAATTGGGAAGAAATTTTCAAATCCGAATTGTTCTTGATTAACGCTAAAGATACGGGAATAATAAGAATTTGAGAGTAAGCGTCACCTTTAGGTCCTATTTCTACACTAATAATGACAGTTTACGAACAAAAAATCCCTCTTCATTAACCAAATTATCGTGAAAAATGTAGTTCATCCAAAGACGAACCATAGTTCGTTTTGTGACGTCATGAGTTTGAACGCTGACTAGAAGTTGCGTCCATACTTTCGGCGAACTACGTTCGATATGACTTCATGAGTTACTCGCGAAAGCGTTGTTGGGTAATGAAAGAGTAGTTCGTCGCGAAAATTCGGTTATTTTCATCTATTAAAAACTGTCAATATGAAAGATCTTTTTTGATTGTCTATTGCCGACTCTTGAAACCTTTACGGAAACGCTGATCCGAATAACCCGATCACCACTATTTTGTCTTTTTTCAATATTTCAATCGTGTTCATTAAAGAAAGATGAGAAGCAGACAGCTGATGATCGGGTTAATCGGATCAGTGTGTCCGTAAAGGCCTTCTAATTCACCTGCAAATTGTCATTTCTGTCAAAAATTAGAATGAGTCCGACGAGAGTGGACAATAAATATCAATTTACATATTATGATTTCTTATAATCTGGTTAATGTTGGAAAGTGCCTACTTGTTGACATATGATAGGAAAAATCCGTGGCCTACTTAATTAAATATTGTGCCAAAAAGTCCATATTTTGTCTCTTTTCAATGTTATTGATTAGAAAAGAAGGCACAAGGATGCATAAAAAATACAAATTGCTTATGTTTTTTGAAGTGAAACTCCTTAAGCCTAGTACTCATAACTGCGAAATTCGCACTTTTCTGACATTGCTTCGACAATTTGACGCATAAAACGTCAATTTGTTTACGAGTACTAGGCTTTAGGCGGAAGTCTGATATTTGGATGAGAATGATGAAGAGTGATTCAAAAGACTTTGGGAAATTTCGTTAAACGGGAAACAAGAGAGAAGAAAGATATGACGTAAACCTAGAGAGACGGAAAAACACGGCCAATGACAACCGACAAACGATTGACACAAACCAAGGATTATAAAGCAAAGACGATTGCCTATTATTGTCAAACGCCGATACCCTTGTGACGTCACTACAGATGCGCGTCTCCCAACGTTATTTTAAATTTAATAAGATTGTCTGGTAATGGGTAACCTAATGACGCATCTGGGGTGCCTTATGCAGATTTGCATTATGTTGAGGCACCCCAGAGACGTCATAAAAATTATCTGAAAACCCACCTCTCTCAAGCAACCTTGCGCGTCTGAGCAAATTGCAATTAACGGACGGCCCGACCAAATAAACAAACTTCTTAAGGATATTATACACTACATAGGATAGCCTATCCTCATAAGGCCTATGTAGATCAAATGTGTAGGCCTTTGTCTTTACTCCGAGTCATACGTCTAAAAAATATACGAGGAGGGGAATAGTTTTGAAGTGAAACTTCTCCAGCGATGGTCTGATATTTGGACGAGAATGGAGAGAGATTTAAAAGACGCGTCACGTTTAGGCCCATTTTGTTACACGAGAAAGAGAAAATATTTAATGTAGAGAGAAGGAGAGAGAGAGAAAGATAGCTATATCTAAAACATAGTTTCGGCTATCCGTGTCTCCCTTCTGTGCGGTTCTTCGTCTTTAACCCCCACTCGTGCGCTAACTCCAAGGTCTCAGTTCCTCGCAAATGGAATAGTTTAGGAAGCATTATACAAGCAAGAGAGAGAGAGAGAGAGAGCCACGTCTTCACTGAATACTAGGCAATGGAAGAGAATAGAGAGTACGACGTGCATACGCGCAGTACAACTCTGATCCACGCGAGTGGAGCAAAAGAAAGTGACGTATATACTCAATACGAAGCGATAGAAGTTTCACTTCTACGACGTATATGGCGCTACACAGATTTTTAAAAAAAATTGTTTACTGCCGACACTTGAATTCACCTGCCAATTGTTATTTCTGTCAAATTAGAATGATTCCGACGACAGTGGACAAAAAATGTCAATTTATGTGTGATTTTTTATAATCTGGTTAAGGTTAATGTTGATATGATAGGATAAATACATCGCCTACTTAATTAAATATTGTGCCATAGAGCTCATCTGTCTCTTTTCAATGTTATTGATTAGAAAAGGAGGAACAAGGATGCGTGAAAACTAACTTATAATAATTATTATGAGTCGTCGTCAGAAAACGATTCGTTTTTGACAAATGCCGTTATAAATGCATGTCCAACTTGATATAATATTTAGCCAGACATTTTATCTGTTTCTTTCTAATAGTATTAATTAAAAAAAGATAGTCGACAATAGACCAAAAAATTAATCAACTATCGTTTTTGTCAAAACGGTATGGTTGATTTTGGGAAGCGTCCATCATTTTTATCGTTATCTGAGGTGTTTTCTCGCCTGTCAAGTTTCAAAAAAGTCAACGCGAAAAAACAGCTCTGGGTGAATGCATGGCCCACTTGATGGAAGATCTTTTTCCCTTATTATATTTGCCTCTTTTCAATTTCTTTGATTGGAAAAGCACCGAAAAAAACAGAAAAAAATCGACACAACTATATGCTTTGTTCCTTTTTTGATTATATTAAAAATAAATATGGCTTGATGGATCAATATAGAAGATTTTTTCTGGATCAATTTTTGTCCATTCCCGGCTCATGAATTCACTTGCCAATTATTGTCATTTGCTGGCAAATTTGAATGGTTCCGAAGAGAATAGACAGTTGTGACGGTATAATCTGGTTAATTTCGATAAGCGCCTATTTCTTGATATTTTATCGAATACCTATTACCCAAGGATAATACAGACTATAGCCTAGTACTCATAACTGCGAAATTCGCATTTTTTTGACAATTGCTTCGACAATTTGACGTTTGATACACGCATAAAACGTCAAATTGTCAACGCAATGTCAAGAAAATGCGAATTTCGCAGTTATGAGT